CAAATGATACTTTGAATATTACATGTTAATAACTTGATTGGAATTATAACCTTGAATTGACAGTTTGATACTTTGAAAATTTTGAGCCAGCCCTACCCCCAAGGGCTGTAGGGTGGGGCTCAAAGGAGTCAGTGTGCTAAAATTTCTTCATTTTCCTTGTTAAGAATCAGAGGTGCTTGTTTCAAATCCTTTTTAGTCTGAAATCTGTATGCTAGATATTGAGTAAGGTGTTATTGTTTTTTGTCACTTTGAATAATATTTCTGTTCATGTTAAAAACAAAATCAACTCTCTGTATAAATATATCAGGTGACCGTTAAGGCCCATGGGCCTCTTGTTCATGACATAATTACCCTGGGGTGAGGGAAGAAACATGCATCAAGGCTGAAACCCTAAGAATTAAAGGACAAGTTGTATAAATCATGTTAATTCTCAGAATGTCGACATCGAATATCTCTCTTGTGTATTAAAGACAGGTGAACCATCTCTCTTGTGTATTATAGACAGGTGAACCATCTTTCTTGTGTATTATAGACAGGTGAACCATCTCTCTTGTGTATTATAGACAGGTGAACAGTCTCTCTTGTGTATTATAGACAAGTGAACCATCTCTCTTGTGTATTATAGACGGGTGAACCATCTCTCTTGTGTATTATAGACGGGTGAACCATCTCTCTTGTGTATTATAGAAAGGTGAACCATCTCTCTTGTGTATTATAGACGGGTGAACCATCTCTCTTGTGTATTATAGAAAGGTGAACCATCTCTCTTGTGTATTATAGGCAGGTGAACAGTCTCTCTTGTGTATTATAGACAAGTGAACCTTCTCTCTTGTGTATTATAGACAAGTGAACCATCTCTATTGTGTATTATAGACAAGTGAACCATCTCACTTGTGTATTATAGACAAGTGAACCATCTCTCTTGTGTATTACAGACAGGTGAACCATCTCTCTTGTGTATTATAGACGGGTGAACCATCTCTCTTGTGTATTATAGAAAGGTGAACCATCTCTCTTGTGTATTATAGGCAGGTGAACAGTCTCTCTTGTGTATTATAGTCAAGTGAACCATCTCTCTTGTGTATTATATACAAGTGAACCATCTCTCTTGTGTATTATATACAAGTGAACCATCTCTCTTGTGTATTATATACAAGTGAACCATCTCTCTTGTGTATTATAGCCAAGTGAACCATCTCTCTTGTGTATTATATACAAGTGAACCATCTCTCTTGTGTATTATAGCCAAGTGAACCATCTCTCTTGTGTATTATATACAAGTGAACCATCTCTCTTGTGTATTATATACAAGTGAACCATCTCTCTTGTGTATTATAGACGGGTGAACCATCTCTCTTGTGTATTATAGACAGGAGAACCATCTCTCTTGTGTATTATAGACAAGTGACCCATCTCTCTTGTGTATTATAGACAGGTGAAACATCTCTCTTGTGTATTATAGACAGGTGAAACATCTCTCTTGTGTATTATAGACAGGTGAAACATCTCTCTTGTGTATTATAGACAGGTGAAACATCTCTCTTGTGTATTATAGACAGGTGAACAATCTCTCTTGTGTATTATAGACAGGTGAAACATCTCTCTTGTGTATTATAGACAGGTGAACAATCTCTCTTGTGTATTATAGACAAGTGAACCATCTCTATTGTGTATTATAGACAAGTGAACCATCTCACTTGTGTATTATAGACAAGTGAACCATCTCTCTTGTGTATGATAGACAAGTGAACCATCTCTCTTGTGTATTACAGACAGGTGAACCATCTCTCTTGTGTATTATCGACAGGTGAACAGTCTCTCTTGTGTATTATAGACAAGTGAACCTTCTCTCTTGTGTATTATAGACAAGTGAACCAGCTCTCTTGTGTATTATAGACAGGTGAACCATCTCTCTTGTGTATTATAGACAGGTGAACCCCTCCAGCTGTGTAGATATGGAATGTGACGGACACAAGAAAGTGATGGTTCACGACAAAGATGGAAGTTTGCTGGGTAAAAGTGGAACAGTCCTGTCCATGTCAGAGTGGATGTATGGCGAAGATCCAAGACGAGGCTCGGGTGACCATAGAATACCTACAGCCATGCTTCTAGACGTTTCTAGCGAGAACCAGCTGGATCCCAGAGAATTAGCTACAGAAAGAGGTATAAAATAGAAGGATATTTTATCATGTCTGCACTTTGATTAATTGATTAGGTTACTATGACCTTCAATTTGAGGTCAAAGTTCAAATAAGTGCAATATTCTCTTAACAAACCAGAATATCGAGAATAAAAAAACTTTTTAAAATATCACGTCTGTTCGGGGAATCGAACCCAATCCCCCTTGGTGCCTTGGTGAAAGGCAAGTGCGCTATCCACTGCACCACCTGACCACCAACTTCGTTTTCTTAATAACTGATTGAATTCAAATTACTGCTCTTAACAGAAAATCTCCATATTAAAGACATTCACATGACACAGTAATGGAGCATTTATACTTAATTGACACATGTCACAGAATCAGAACATACTATGTTCCCTTAGGTGGCAATTAAGCTATACAAATTTTGAATTCTTTATTTATGTTATCTTGTCCAAATTGTTTCCATCTGAACAGGAATCGTCCGAGATCCAACCTGTGTAATACAGGGAGCGTGGCAGGCACATTTATGTACACATTACAATTACAAGATGGTGATTATTGAGAGTATGGATTCAGACACGGAGACCCGTCGTCTGTCGCCCATTGCTGTCTTGGGAGAGACGGATACCGATCCCCGGGTCGGTTACCTTGACCTCATTAACGGCCCCCAAGACCACGGGCGCTGCTTCGGCAACACGTGTCGAAAACGCATCTCAACATTCTCAATGGTTGTAGCAACAAGTAAGTTTGATTCTAAATGGTATTGTTCAGATATGGTTGTAAGACTGGTAACAAAATGCTAAAGTTAAAAGATATTTTTGTTATATCAATTTTAGTGTTGGCAAAGAGGTGGACATTTTAACCCTTTCACCACTGTAGACCATAATGAACTCATCCAGATCAATGCATGGTAGAGTCTAATAAAGTTACATAGGGGTGAAAGGGTTTACAAAGCAAAATGGTAACGAAGCTTCAAATATATATTCCTGACATTTATCCTAAATTAACTTTGAGTTCTTAATTTGATTCCTTAGGTCGTTAAAAATCTGAGAATCTGAGATGGCTATCATTGACTTAAGTTAGGGAAACATGTAAAATTCTTGTTTATTAAAAGGTAACAGTACAGACCTATTGGGCCTATTATTATTCTGTAAAACGAACCCAGTCAAACCTTCGCCCTTTGCCCATGAAATCAATTTTCACCCGGTGTTAATTTTGCTCTTCACATCTCTTTATTATCTATTTTACGTTATTTACTGAAATTGACTGTAATGAAAAATTTCCTTCATCATAGAGGGCAAAAAAGGTAAAAACTAGACTGCAGTAAAACTTTCCCAATATGTATGCAGTATCTGTGCTACAGGAAGTATTCAGATTTAATGTGACCCTGATGACTGTCAGTAGTGATGATAGAGAGCTCATTTATATCCTAATTTGTTCGAAATACATAATTCATCTTATCTCTATTTTCAGATCTGTCCTACAGGATGTTTTTCTCCAGCACCCCTCCTCAATGGCTGCGTCTCTCCATGCTTCTGTCAGAAAGATTCCACAAGTTCAAGATTGCTATATACTACTTTAAAGCTAACAGAATTGACGTGTTTGCCCACGGTGAATACAAACCACCCAAGAACAGTTACTACGACGGAAACGAACAATTGTTCTATCTCGATACGTACACCGACAAGGATAAATATATTCCAACCATCGATGACGACTGTGGGACCAATTTTTATGAAACAGAGTCTAAACTTCTGCATTTGATTGTGTGTGGGGATGGTAGCGTAGACATAAAAGTCTCAAAGGCTGTATTTATGCACATTTCACTGCCATCGATGTCTGACGAGGACTTGCATTTAACAAATCTATTGAAACATTTGGCACAGTTCTTGGGAGTGGCAGAGGAACTTGTGAAGGTTAGGGAAGCCATTACTGATACCGAATCTCGCCACAAGAGGGCGACTGGATCAACAACATACGTTGTACAGATCGCGGACCAGCCCTGTAATACAACTTTGTGTGCTTCGGAGTCTTTGACGTTTGATGCGGCAGACCTCGTCATTTTAGCCAACAAAATTGTTAATGCTTTCTTGGTAGGTTTTCTTTTTACATGTGTTGTACAGGTACAACAAAAATCGAATGAGTTACTATTGTTTAGGTGTATCAGGGCTTACTCTACGACAATTTTGGGGCCTAAGTTTGTCCCAATATGAATTTCCAAATCTTTAAAAAATAAAAGTGTTTACTCTGACAGCTTTATATTCAGATGACAATGTAACAGCAATGTCTACAATTTGGGAAAAAAAATCATGACTAACAATGTGTTTTGTCTTTTAGGTGCTAAAAGGTCATTATTTGGTATAAATCAGAAAAAATTCCAATTTGGTTAACTGAAACACAATTTTCCCAATTCTAAAACCACTGGCTCTATTCCGTCTTTTCGTATTGCAGAGTTATCTTCTCTTGATAGCAGGTATTGATTGATGCGTCATTTGTTTGTGAGAGTAACGTCATCATTTTTTGAGAAAACGGCATAATTTTCTCACACAAACTAATGACGTAACAATCAATACCTGCTCACAAGAACAGATAACTCTGGAATACGAAAAGACGGAATTCCCAAAATAGTGAGAACAAGCCTTATGTTTACAAGAACCAATATTTTCCATCAGAATTTCTTGAAACTTGGGTTTGCGTTATGGAAAAGCTCACATTTTTGATTTGTCACATGATTTAGCACAAAAAATATTCACACAAGATTATATGTTTTCTTAGATTAAAGAAAAATAGAATGATTATATAGATTTCAGAATTATTACATCAAAAATTGACACATCATGATTAGTTAAACGAACATTTCCGCCAATGAAAATTATTTCCTCTTTTATAGTAACACAACTCCAGATTTAGGATATTTCCACTCTTTGATGGAGGAGGGAAGTAAGGAAAAGTTTAGTTTAGTTTATTTGTGGCTTCAATTACAAAAAAACAAATTTTCATTTTATTTTTCAGTTGGGGCAAATCAGTGACATTTTAAATGTAACAGTGAATTCTATGAATATTGATGAGGTGTTGCCATCCACAACTGACCCAACCTGGAAAATGATTGTGGACTCCGGTAATGTCACGACAGTTCTAAAGGTGCTGGACAGTTTACAGTTTGAGACAGCAATCATAGAAGATACAGAGGGAAATCCCTTCAAGCAGCAACCTGTTCTCCATTTTGTGGATGAAAATGTAAGTGTGAACATTTTACTGATTTTTGTTTGTTTGTGTTTTATGTCCTATCAACAGCTATGGTCATTTAAGGACGAGAAAGGTTTTCTTGGTGCAGGAAAGCCGGAATTCCCGGAGACAAGTACCTGGTGACTGCCCTATGTAGGCCTCGAACCAACGACCCAGTGGCGGAGGGGCTATTGATAGCAGAATGTTAGGTCTCCATTTAATTGATACAGTTATTATTACACTACTGACCTCTTGCATGTAGATGGGAATTTTATTTCCAATGTGAGCATGGAATTTTCTGAGATATAATGTCATGCCTGCTATGAGTATGAATTCTTGCTGGCAAATGTTACTATCCGAAGAATATCCTTCAGCTAGAACTCCAATGCTGTAGTTCTCTGGGGATATTATAAACTCAAGATCATATGTCCTGTGTCTCTATCACTTGTTATTACAGTATATTTAGTTAACTTATTTTTCATTACAGATACAAAGATCGTTCTATTATTTTTTTTTTTATAAAAGACCACTTTATTAATATTAATATAAGGATTTTTTTAGGAAAGTCCTGAACATCATTTTCAATATATTGAGGATGTCCTTTTACTAAGCAACATAGTGGGCTCTCAAACTTTCGTTAAGTTAAAGAGGAAAGGATGTCGAGTTCAGGACATTGATTTCTCACATACTTCACAGGGTGATCCCGTTGTTGCTAGGGAAAAGATAAGTCTATCTTACACGGGTTAGGGAAATACAGCTGACATACGCTATGACGCCATAATAATGGATTGTCGACGTGACGTCATTTTTTTGTTTCCGTGATGTCATACAACTGTTGTGAATGGGGAATCATCCGTCTCAACTCTAGGGCTTTGGGGTTTGCCGGAAGAATAAGATCGATGTTTATTTCGACTGGAATTTGTTTATTTGTATGCATGTTAGAAAAATAATCAAACAGAGACCAGCCAAACTCTTACACTCCGGTTGAGATATCCCTGTCCACGGGACAGACCCATGTAAGATTATATTAATCTTTGTCACAAGACTCACTGATGTTAACATCATGTTGATAGGGACCACTCAATTAATGTTATGAGTTTTACAATGCTTTTTTTTCAGGGGGATCATGCATCAATTCTAGGAATATCAACGATGCCGTGGGAAGTGACTGCCACCTTGCGGGCAGGAGCGGGTAATTCTAGCGGCTGTACACCAACGCTTGCCGGCACTTCCACCGTCAACTTCGTAGACGGCTGGGCCAACTTTACAGATCTGTTAATTAGCTGTACTGGAGCAGCGTACATGATCAATTTTGACATCACCTCGCCTACCGGGACCAACTTCACGCTAACCTCGGCTAACCTGACAATCCTCCCTCGGAATATAACGGCTGCAGTAGCATCAGTTACCAGTCCCAAATACACAGGAGAACCTTTCGGGGTCACAGTTCATCTCAAAGATGCTGCAACAGATGCTGTTATTACAGATGTCGGATGGAAGGTAAAACCAAAATTGTATTTACAGATGTGCGAAGGTTAACTGGAGATCGGGAGTGTGGATACTGTTATCCGTGAAATTTTCACTGCAGTTTAATTTTTTGCCTTTTTTTGCCCCCCGTAATGAGCGGAAAGTTATCATTACAGCAAATATAAGTACACAGCTTAACAAACATAGTAATGATATGTGAAATTAGCACTGGATGTAAATTGATTGCACGGGCAAAAGGCAGTATACAGTAGCTTGGTTATAGCATATACATTCATTTTAACGGAGGTCATTATTTATTAAATGCCTCTGCTAGGGGTCGAAACCCGGACCCCTGGGTTATAACTAGCCTGATACTCTATACTGTCCGTCTGTCCATGAATTTTGTATTATACAACTCTTCAAAAACTGTTTGTTGGATTATTTTGTAACTTGACACTGTGAAAGTGTACCATATGTAAATCATGTTCATGATGAAAGGGATTTATGATTTGACTAATTTTTCTGGAATTATGAATCTTGAAACTTTAAATTTCTGCCAATGAATCCTTGTCAGCCTCGTCCAAATCTGTTTGTTGGAATTCTATGTAACTTGACATAATGAAAGTTCATCATATGCAGATGTGCAGGAAGGAAGGCATTAGTGATTTGATTATCTAAGATGAAATTTAAGGGGCTTATCAAGGAATCACCTTGTCTGTCTCTCAATAAATTTTGTAAGCCAAACTCCGTCCAGCCATTGGATTTTTATGAACTTCACACAAAGTGATACTACACCTTATGGAGATGTGCATGAAGGCAAAATTATAAATAGATACTTTATCACTAATCAAAAAAAAAATATGGGGGGAGAAGATACAAATAGATACTTTATCACTAATTCAATTTTATTTTTTGGGGGGGGAGGAGATGTAAATAGATACTTTATCATTACCGGTAATTCAACTTATTTTTTGGGAGCAGGGGGGGGGGGAGGAGATATAAATAGATACTTTATCACTTATTCAAATCCTTTTTTTCGGGGAGGGAAGGGGTACCAAGGAATACCCAGATAATATATTGTGGGTATTATATCATCGTGAGCTGTTTCTCCAGTTGACAAAAGAGACATGCAGTGGTACTATAGATTTTCAAAAATACTTACAATGTACATTTCCTGTTAATTATAACTTTCTTTGTCTCCATTATCAGGGGCACACCTGGACGGCTGAGGTCAGAGTCAGTGACACCTACGAATTCTCAGGGTCACTCACAGGCACAGTGAACGTGACCTTCGACCACATCACTGGCTTGGCTACCTTTGATGCTCTTGTCCTAAATACAGCCGGAATTTTTGTGTTAATCATTAACGTCACATCAAGTCCTGCAGATTACAGTTTCACTGTGGAACAGGAGGAATCTATTGAGTGGGTCAACATGAAAATGAGCACGACTCATGCAAATATAGGGTCTGTTAAGTACAACCTTGACTACAGTGTCTATGGGACTACTGCTTTTGCGAGAGCTACATGTAACAGTATGATGCAGATGAACAATGCGATAACTCTGTCGAACTGCACATCTTCTCCAGGTAAATCTAATACAGTGGCTCACTGGAGACAGTCTGTGATGTTGTTGACAATTGAATCCTAATTATTATACCCCTCTCCCCATACAAACATAATTTTAAAAAATATGCAGTAAAATATTTTAACATGATCCCTTAAATAAAACATCCAGGTGAGATGTAAAGGTGTGCCCTCTGAATATCTTTTAGTACAGATAATATAACTGTCTTATTTTGCAGGGAACATATTTTGTCGTTTATGTTACAGGGTGTGTTATTGTATTGTTTGTATTACATGGATAGTTATTGTGTCATTTGTGTTACAGGGAGCGTTATTGTGTCGTTTGTCTTGACCGGAACCAACACAACGATGGACGAGTTCCTGGATATGCTGTGTCAGAATATCAGTTCATCGTTAAGCTTTTCTTTCAATGGAACAACAGCCACGTTAGATAAATATGTGACTGTGGGCGGCTCTGAGCCGAGCAACTGTTTCCCGCAGGTAACTTCAGTTTCTTTTTTTGAATCAGGAAAGATTTTATAACATACAGGAAATTGTATACATACATACAATTCAATATATTATATCAGAGTTGTTCTTCTTTGATAATCACACCTCATTATTTCATCATATGCAAATAAGAATGTTATTCCTGTGATTTATTTTTTGACCTTGAATGTTGAAGCAAGAGTCATGCCTACGAACTAGATTGTGATAAAGTGGTATATAATAACCTCAAATTATTATTATTTATTAATTATTAATGTACTAAGGTTACAAGTGACTGTATGTGACGCTAGACTACTTTTATTTTGTCATAGGATGCTGGAGAGATAGAAGCAGAGTCATCATCATCTATGCTGGGTATTATCTTAGGTGTCCTCATCGTATTAATTGTTCTGCTCGTCATCGGAGTCGCCATATACTGTATCAAAGCCAAGGAAAAATTACATCGACTGAGTGAGTCCAACATTATCTTGATTTAACTGTATCCTGTTTATAGTATCAACCAAAAATAGTCTGTCTGGTCTGTATTCATAGCCACAAGTGAACATAATTATAACAAACAACAGATGATTTCCAAGGGAAAAAAGATAAAATAAATAAATAGAATGAATGCGACTTTAAGTCTGGTCTTCTTCAAGGGTGAAAGTCTACAATTGATTTATGTAACGTCCATCTTGCTTCTTTGGAGGTAAAGACGTGCAAAATGCATAACATCACAAAGACTTTTTGAATCTTTGACGTCATAATAGTATGCTGTCAGAATCACAAAATGTCAAGACGGTGTCGAGAGATTAGTTTCTCCCATCAGCAGTTGTTCCGAATATTACACACAGGATAATTTGGTGTTAAATTTTCTAATTCAAATGTGCTCAACTAAGAGTATATGACTTACCTTCCTTGTGTACCTACTGTAGCACCGCCCCTACGCCTACATCATCATCAAAATGGTCATGAAAATCCCTATGGATTGCATGGGTTAGCACTAGATATAAACGGTCTGGACCACATTTTTCTTGTAACTATCTGAATCATGAAGAAACTGTCTGGACCCAGAGATTGTTTTGATTTGCACAAACTTCCTGAGGCCCAATAATAGAAACTGTCTAGGTAGTTTAAAGTACAATTAAAAATATATTGACTTGCTTTATAACCTGTGGCAGCACTATAAAATTTAATATGTAATACAATTACAAAAATATTATTGAGTTATTTTGGAATTACGATAACTGCATAGAACATGTTTGATTTTGTGATATTGTTTGTAAACTGACTCCATACAACATAAGTGTGTTTGACACTGTGGTAGATGTCAATATTAGCTCCGTAGAAAGTCATGAACAGTTTCTGTAAAAATGTTAAAATACTTGTATTTAATTCACAGAAATAACCCAAGTAAGCCAAATGTTAGACGAGGAAGAAATGGAGGAGCCTATTACGGAGAAACCGCCCGGCCCCCCGGGAACCTTCCTGTTCTCCCCAGACCCCACCTATATAGACGATCCTCCCGACCAGCTCTTCCGCCAGGACACATTCATGGGTTTCCGTGACTACTTCCCAGAGAGACAGATGCCCCCAATCGGAAACAGTTTCCGGGAGAGGCCCAAAACAGCCAAAAAGTTCAGCTTCCACTAACTCTTTCCAACTGTTTACACAGATATTTGGACTCTTCCCATCAAATATGGTGTTGATACATACGTCACTTTTGGCATGTGTTTTGATATTTGGGGCGCCCATGCTTTTTAGAATATATACGGTTTCCCAACAAATGGTGGTTGGTTATCATGTTTATTATGCTCCCGCCATAAAATGGGGGGGATATAGTGTTGCCAATGTCCGTCCCGTCCCGTCCTGATTCAATGTAAACACTTAGCAACTTCATTGTTTGACAGGTTTTGGTCAAACATTATACAAAGGTCAAGTATGGGTATATTTCAGACATCGTTGTATTTCACAGTTCCAAGGTCAAGGCCAAGGTCACACTTGCTATATATAGAAAATCATCAACTGATTCAATTTAAACACTTAGCAACTTCATTCTTTCACGGATTTTGGTCAAACATTATACAAAGGTCAAGTATGGGTATATTTCAGACATCGTTGTATTTCACAGTTCCAAGGTCAAGGCTAAGGTCACACTTGCTATATATAGAAAATCATCAACTGATTCAATTTAAACACTTAGCAACTTCATTCTTTCACAGATTTTGGTCAAACTTTATGTAAATGTCAAGTATGGGTATACCTCTGACATCCTTGTGTTTCAGGGTTCCAAGGTCAAGGCCAAGGTCACACTTGCTTTATATAGAAAATCATCAACTGATTCAATTTAAACACTTAGCAACTTCATTCTTTCACGGATTTTGGTCAAACTTTATATAAAGGTTAAATATGGGTATACCTCTGACATCCTTGTGTTTCAGGATGGTAATAATATACAGAAAAAACACATGAATATTAAAATCAACTTTGTGTGTGTGTGCATGTTTCAGGGTATCAAGATCAAAGTGGTTGTAACTTTTTATAGAACACTGAAACTAATTTTGCATGGCAGTGGGGGCATTTATGCCTTACAGACATTTTCTAGTTTAAATCAAGTTAGTAAATTTTCACTTTGTATAAAGATACATACAGTTTACCGAGTGACTTTTGCATTTTGAAAGTTAACTAACGAGAGTTGGATAAACATGATAATCAACCATAACAAGTTTGGGGACCTTTTTCTCCCACAACACTAGGATATTACATCTTGAAAACCATGTTTCTTTTTGGAAGATATAATTCCTGTTTCCGATCGGGGGTAAATTGCCAGAGAGTTTGTAAATGAATAGAGACAATAAGACCTGAAAGGGTATAAGCATCTTCTGCTTGGACCAACTAAGCCGTTGAATGTGGCAATGAAACCCTAGCTTGTGACAACTAAGCCTTGTGGACCTTTGTTGTACAGTAATGTAGAGACAGTACAGTATATAGCTAACACAGTTGTCAACCTCTGACACCTCCATTGATGGAGATCTCGCTCATTCCACATTTCCAATGAGGGAGAAAGTGTGTGAAATGGACTGAAACAGCTTTGTTCGATTTATCTTTCCCTTTTATGTATCAAAATAAACTCCAAAACTCATTCATTTGATTCAGACACACCTGTAACGATCATTACACACACACTGTATATGTAGTAACTAGGAGATAATGCGATCACAGGATATAGATTTTGAGTTTGTGCGAGTTTGGACTTGAATTAGGGGGTTTCAAGGGATAGTGGTAAATACTGGTCAGAATGAGGGAGTCTCTCTCCCAATGAGGGAGGGTTGACAGCTATGATAAATGTTATGGTACATAATACTGTATATATGGTCAAAGAAGGGCGTTACATTTTTCAGATATCACAATTCTGCTCCGCTATTTCATCAATTTCACTACACACATATTTGCGTTATGTCCCCAGAAACCATCCATGTTTATACTTGACCGATGTATGGTGTTCAGTATATATGCTTTGTTATTTTTATACTTTTACTTTATGATTTCTATATCTAATTTATTTTCATTATAGTTTCTTGGTGTACTTGCAAAACCTGTGCATTTCATTTCTCCCCCATAACTCTGCATGTGGATTGAGTTAAATCTGGCATTATCTTTAGTGTAAGTGTTACATGTAGTGATATTGTACACAAAATATCCATTGGTAATTGTAAAATCAAAATAAAGCATTTTACGTGTATCTTGAAGATATACTGTGATATTTGAAAGACAAACTTCCCTGCTGAGCTGGTCCTGAATGGAAAGAGAGAGCTTCATTTTAAATTTCACAGATTCATATATATTCAATTTTTGTTCTTTTAAGGAAAGATTATCTATATTGAGTTATTAAGACGATCTATGATAAGTCATTAATAGGAGATTTCATTTTATGATTATTGTATGTAACTGTTATGCTACATAGGTAACTTTGGAGAGCTGTTTATTATTCGTTTGTCACAAATACTGATGGGACCTATATTATAGTCTGGGGAGTGTCGGACCATCCACACTTTGTTTTCCGCAAGATACAAATGTAGCTTGCTTACACAACGTTCGGTTTTAATGAAACTTTGTATTCACATTCATGTTCGAACCTGAGCAAGCTCCATGCAAAATTGATAAGCCTCTTCCTATGCATGTACATTTTATAACGGTTACGTTCGAAATTAAGCAAACTTTGTGCATATTTCATAAGCATACTGTGCTCTGGTTGGTTGAAACATGTCCAGATTCTGATCAGACTTGCTCAATATTTACACTTTGTCTAATAGCAAAATCTGCCAACAATAATTGAGATATATATAATCCGTCAGCTTAGGTTGGACAGGTAGGGTACATATTCTGCTCTCACCACATTCCAGGAATGGATCTCAACTTTACTGTATAATACAGTACAAATGTCGTTTCTTCTGCTTACATTTCCATATTTTCATACTTTTAGATACAACAATTCATAAGAGGAATTTAAGGATGTTAGATTGGCATTGGACGGGCGTATTAGGTTCCGCCTTGCGTGTTCTTTTTTTTTATTCATTTATATTTAGTTATTGATATCATGACATATATTAAAGAAATTTTTGATAAAATGTTGTTTTCATCTTTTATTGCATTTAAACAGCCTTTAGCAAGGAACTGTTTGTGTTCGCACTATTACTTAGTGATCATGGATACTTTGGTATCTAAATATGGCTATATGAAAGAAGATAAATAATAGTAAAACCACTGAGATCTAGAAGGATGTGGTTTGTATTAATATGCATATCACAATTTGTGATGGGATACATTATGATATTGGATCATCTGTCCGTTTGCACAAACTTTGGTTTCCACCTGATAACTTATTTAAATGTCATTCAGTTTTAACGGAACTTGAAATAGTTGGCATGTATGTAGGATGTATAAATTTCGCCACGGTGACAGTGATACCCTTGGGGTAACCCTAGGCACTGTCACCCTATAATGAGTGTAGTATTAACATACATGTAAGATCTACATCTCAAAAAGCTATATATATATATATATATACAATGTGGGGCAAAGAAGAAATTCCAACAGTGTGGACAAGTATATACAATGTATATGCAATGGGGGGCAAAGATGTAATTCCAACAGTGTGGACAAGTATATACAATGTATATGCAATGTGGGGCATAGATGTAATTCCAACAGTGTGGACAAGTATATACAATGTATATGCAATGGGGGGCAAAGATGTAATTCCAACAGTGTGGACAAGTATATACAATGTATATACAATGTATATACAATGTGGGGCAAAGGAGTAATTCCAACAGTGTGGACAAGTATATACAATGTATATGCAATGGGGGGCAAAGATGTAATTCCAACAGTGTGGACAAGTATATACAATGTATATACAATGTGGGGAAAAGAAGTAATTCCAACAGTGTGGACAAGTATACACAATGTATATGCAATGTGGGGCAAAGATGTAATTCCAACAGTGTGGACAAGTATATACAATGTATATACAATGTATATACAATGTGGGGCAAAGGAGTAATTCCAACAGTGTGGACAAGTATATACAATGTATATGCAATGGGGGGCAAAGATGTAATTCCAACAGTGTGGACAAGTATATACAATGTATATACAATGTGGGGCAAAGAAGTAATTCCAACAGTGTGGACAAGTATATACAATGTATATGCAATGTGGGGCAAAGATGTAATTCCAACAGTGTGGACAAGTATATACAATGTATATACAATGTGGGGCAAAGAAGTAATTCCAACAGTGTTGACAAGTATATACAATGTATATACAATGCATATACAAAATTGAGGCCAAGTGCCAACATGAGCACGATCTGTAATTTATCAACCAGCATATCAAGCGCTGATTGGTCAGCATCAACACTGTCATTTCCACAAGATAACTATATATGGTGGCTTAAATATTGTTGGATATCCGGAGGTCCAAGGTTCCTTAGAGGAGGCATTGACAAACGAAATTCTTCTGTTACACCACATATTTCAAGCACAGGGACCTGCTAATTTGTTACGGCTATATTTGGATCCATACTAAGGTGCTCGGAGTAATTTTACTCGTTTTAGGGGTTTATATCAACTTTCGTTAAAAATGCCGCTACCCCAACCCGCCAAAAAGGATTAATGATACTTACCGAAAAAGTTTATCACAACTGCTAAAACGTGTAAAGTTACTTTGAACTACGGACTTAGATGTCAGTATTGTCAGGTACATGGTTCGATTCCTGTGGTAGCTCCTCTCCATCCCTGGGATTAGCATGAAAAGCCATGGTAAAGACTTCTAATATAATTCCGTGCTTTGAACACCTTATTTTAAGTCCAAAACTAGCTGTAACAAATTATCAAGGCCCGTATTCATGAAACCGTTCTCATGCTCAAACATAGATTTTGTGCTGGAGCCTAATTTCTTGTTCCGTCTATAAATTAGAAATAAAATCTTATTTTGTTAATGATATGGAAACATATTTAAAGAGACTTAAAACCGAATACTGTTTTCAATGTTTACATTTGAGTCTTCGATCTATTGACATGATTTAAGTGAGTTACAAGAAAGATGGTTGGAGCACAAAATCCATGCTTCAGCATGAGAATAATTAAATGAATGGGTCCGTATGCACGAAAACGTGCTCATGTTCAAGCATGGATTCTGTGCTCAAAACAGTATTCTTGGAACTGGCTAAAAGCATGCCAAACGATCAAACAGTCCAATGTAAACAATGAAAAAAGTATTCGGCTTCAAGTATATCAAGTTATCAATTTATAACTAGAACAAGAAATTGGGATCGAGCACAAAATCCATGTTTGAGCATAAGAACGGTTTCATGAATACGGACCCAGGTCCCTGTGATTTTACGTACATTTGTTAAAAAACATTTTATATGGACTAACATGTCCTTTATTTTCATACGATGATATAACACATACATTATGTACACTGACTATTATTTGACAGACTATATATATGCATACATATATATTGGGCAAAGAAGTAATTCCAACAGTGTGGACAAGTTTAGGTTTTCAAATTTTCGGAGCGATCCGCTCCTTTTTCAAGACACAGTGAAACAGAACAGTTACATGTACATATACATCATATTACAAGAAGATAGAATTGATATACTATAATTGAAAATATAGCTATTATATAAAACCAATAGTCCACTCGGCTAAAGACAGCCGAAGGCAGCAATTATGCTGAAAGCATCGCGGACAAGGAACGCTGATGTAGAGGACCTATTCTTGCGCAAGATGCACTATCATATAAAGTCACTATACTATAATTTCACAACAAGCGTACTGAAGGCTGCTACACAGTATGTCGTCCCACTGGTAACCAAGACTACCAGACATGATAACACAATCGTGTGTTACACATTTAGATCCGTCGTCTGGCTGGGAGTAATAGAAGTTCTGGTATCCTAATTCCTCGCCATCGATGTCCACCATAAAACCCTCGTGGTCCACATCCGACACACCGAGCCAGACGGCACTCATACCTAAACAACAATTGTCATTTGTTTGAGCTCTTTCTTGGTCGTAACGGCAAGTCAACAACAAAGTTCATAGATTAGTTAGTGTATTGCTTAACTCATTCACCCCTGAAATTTCATAATGAACTATTCCAACCTTTGAATCGGAAGAGTTCAAATGTGTCTTCAGGGGTGAATGAGTTAACTGCCCGCAACGGTGAAGTCAAATCGGGCCTGACAACAGCAATATGGGACAATAAAAAATCGACAATTAAGTTCACAAGAAATAAACTGAACAGTAAAAGTTTAAAAGTACACAGCACAATGATCAGATATTAAAAGTATATAACTTTAAAGTGTATAGGTTTAAAGTATTAAAACATACCAGGTGTTCAAAACAAGTCCTTAAAACACTACAGAAAGTCAACAACTCACGAACTACGGATTTTCTCGAATTAGATACTCCTAGAGATCCATGTACCACTGCCAAAAACAAGAAATCATTCCTTGAACACGTTTATTTTCGGCAAAACTACACTTTGATAAAGCATTTATGAAACAACTGTATGAAAACAAATTGTAAAAACACATACTGTTTTGAGTGGAAAAAAGCGAAGACAGTGGACCAGGATTAGAACTCTGGAGCACTGATCACTATACTTGTGTTCTAGTTACTAACGGTAATTCTCGTGCCCGGAATAAATCAAAACGAAATTAGTGGAAAAATAATGATGTACGAAATACTACAGTTGTTTTTTCTAGTACTTTGTCCGCAGTGGGACAAATATTCTTGAAGAACACGCAAATATAGGTAGTACGGGTAGTCGTCACAGGTCGTCAGCTCTTTGACCTTTGACCTTTAGTGATGAGTCATAAATGGACGACGTGATGATATGGTGCCCTACATTTTCACTTTGTTGTGCGTTCTGTGTCGACTGACTAGATGTTTCAATAATTGCTTTCTGATTTCGTATTCTAATGATGTTAAAACATGTACTTTACGAAAAACACGAAGGTTATGAAAACTGTAAACAACTAGCAATAGCCATTTTAACCATTCAGGACCTGGTGGTGCAGTGGATAACGCACTTGTCTGTCGCCAAGACGGCCTGGGTTCAATTCCCCGGTCGGACGCGAAAAGGTGTGTGGGTCACCGACCACATGGGTTTTCCAGATGCTCCGGTTTTCTTTCACATTATAGGACCCACCCGCGTGCTAACATCCGGGCCAACAAGAGTGATTAGTATAAGTTAAAATAACTTGTTTCGTAAGTTTTGTAAAATAAATATAGTTATTTTATACAAGACAGCCACGAGTTTGATTTATTTAAATCTATGAATTCTTGAAGAAATGTTGCAAATTAGATTTATCGCCCTTTGTTAAGAACGCAGTCTATCCCGGGACGTCTTACTGTAACTCTTTCGTCGGAGGATGTAAAGTTCAATTGACACAAAAATAATGACGGACGGATATCAGAAGATACACAGAAGTAGTTAGATGACGGATTGGTTTGGTTTGGTTTAGTAATGTTTAACGTCCTATCAACAGCTATGGTCATTTAATGACGGCCTCCCCTGTGTGCAATATGCATGTGTGTAGTGTTTGCGTGTGTGTTTTGGGAAGCTGCGATATATTCGTGTTTGTCTCCTTGTGATAGCGCGGAACTGATGCCGACTTCATAGTGCTACCACACTGAAACATGCATATTGCACACGAAGACACCCAGCAGGACACCCCACCCGGTCACATAAACTAGCAACGGGCGAACCAGTCGTCCCACTCCTAAATTGCTGAGCGTTAAGCAGGAGTAAAAACTACCATTTTTACAGACTCTAGTATGTCTTGGCCACGGGAAGGAAGGTAAAACATCGTAGAGTCATATATTTTATGAATGGCTGTCAACAATTGACCATTAAAAATGAGAAGTATTGAAACACCTTTGAAATAGCTTGTTCATGCCGAAAGATAAAGAAAGTTTAGGACTCATCAGTAAACCGAACCTGAGCGGAAATTGTTAGATAGGTATGTGTAAAATGTTTCGTGAAAATCAAAGCATTTCGTCGATGGTTATCGCACTAAAATCACGTGACATTTCGTAAAGTCAAAGATGGCCGCTGATCAGATTACCGTGGCAGCCATGTCAATTTTCAGGGAAATCATATTTTATGCATTTGTAGAGAGTTTGATGAAAATGAAAGCATTCCTTTAACATTTATTCCAAGGAAAAAGTTTGTACGACCGCCAGTGACGCCGACGAAAGGATCCCAATATGTCACATTTGCTTTGCAGGAGACACAAAAAGACTACATGTACACATATATTATACCATTGTCTGTCAACAGCTTTTGTAGAATGTTGTTTTCAGTAATGTCGTCTACCATCACCAGCCGACTGTTGAGCGATTCACAGACGGCAGCAGCATCGTCCCAGCTTTGGGGCACGAACAGCAATTTGAGGCAACTTCCGGTAAATTTGGTGCAGTCAAAACCGTTGACCATGGCAACATCCACTGTTGATCAGAACAGTATTATTGTTTCATTGTTTGACACGTGGTAAGCATTGTACCGGCGAACTGATAGTTATTCAATGGAGTGTACCAAGTGAAAATGTAATAACCTCTTAACAAAATGTACATGTACGTGTCTCGCCCCAGGCAATTGTTTGATAGTTCAAATTGTATTTCTTTACTGCCCTTTCACAGTCTCAAGGAGGGTACGGTAGGTCAATATTTGAACGTTTTTAACAATCGGAACAATATGTTATCAATATTATAAGCTTGACACTTGCTTGTGTAACACCAATCATTCGGAACACTACATCGTCCATTTTCTAAAGTTGATATTATAAGATTAACACTTACTTGTGTAATATCAATCATTCGGAACATTATATTATCAATATTATAAGGTTATTACTTACTTGTGTAATACCAGACATTCGGAACACTATATCATCAATATTATAAGGTTGTCACGTACTTGTGTAATACCAAACATTCGGAACATTGTATCCGTCTATTGTTCTCTGTATATAACGATCATGTGCGTGACACAGGTTGGTGTTTTTCTCGAAAAAGATCGACACGCACGTGCTTGTCTTGGCACAGAGCGCTGCGCAGTCAACAAGAGACACGACTGCGTGACGCGACAGGACAGCTCGGTTAGGGAGGAGGTTGTTAAAGAGGGGGTTCCTCTTCAGGTATTGGCCCGAAGACAGAGCAACTGAAAGCGATACAGATTTTGTATGTCAACTATTGCACGATAACCTTTGAAACTAATTATTGTATAAACTATGATTATTGATATATTCCTATCAGCCCATCAATTCAAAAGGGCCAATATAACGTCGATAAAACATGTTTAAGGAACTGACAGCAAACCAACGAAGAAGTTAAAGATAAAATTCAACTTAAAAGTAAAAGTAGATAGTAAATAATTAACAAGAAAAACATGTTTTAGCTATCAAGGACCGTTGAATTAATCCCACAACTGCTCAGATAGTCGCAAGTGGTACATTAGAGCATTCAATGAGATACTACACTCTCACACATTTTACTACGTTTGAGCAAAATCTGGCATAGAACCCTAGGGACCACTAACATCACCTTTACGTATACCCTCAAATGTATCAATAAGTCACAGGCCTTGGAGGCCATGTTTGATAACCGATCAGAAAATTAAATGCATTACACACATCTAAACATTATACAGCACAGTTTATCCAGCCAGTGGTCACAACGAATACGCCCGGAAACTATAGGGCCGCACTTGTTTATCACGATCCAAGCGGTTGAACCGGTTGGACCAGAGTTGTTCGCTTATGAAATTATGAAAGCAGGCCATGGAAAAGCCTTGCAAGGTCTGCATAAACATTTGCAGTTCCGCCAGGATTTATACCCGAACATGTTACATTTAAAAACAGACAAATCGGTTGAACAGGATACGCAAAAGGGGGCCATTTGTCGAAAAAATAAATTTGAAAGATTAAGAAATGCAGAAAAAATAAGTCTCCTTCGTTTGAATGATTCAATTAAACAAAAAAGATCTGTCATGATACCGCCTTATTTTATCGAACCCTTATGACCAATCTAGTACTTAAGCTTTTTATACATTGGGAATATTACTCTTAAGTTGTTGACAAATGACGGTAAATTAATTTAAACTCTTTTGTCATAAAAAAATCATATTTAACAGACATCAGGACTGTTATAAAATTTCGTTAAGTTTGGCGGAAGTGTGTGATGTCTTCCAATTCGTAAACATATTAGAAGAACTGATTTCAATATTAACCAAAAAAATGTATAAAGTCAGTTCTTCATGTCTATCGAGGCAAAGACAACGCAACTATGACTTCCTTGAAAAAATAATCAAAGTTATATAAGTGCATACATCTACATAACAATTATGCTACTGATTTGAATTAATGGTTAATGTAGTATGACGAAGTCTTTAAGCACAAAAATAAATCCTCAAAATCAAAGTTATATAGAGAATACTTACTTACCTCGAAACAAAGCAATGCGCACGAAAATTGACAACATTATACTTGCATACATGGTAACTGACTTGTCACTACCACCTACTGGTCATCACTCTGTCAGACTGATACATTAGTATCGGTATATTTATGTTGATGATACATGTTTATTACATAACATGCCGTTTTGCTTTTAATTTCAATCGATTAATTCCATTATTAAATCAATTTAGTACTACAAGTGGAATTCTGTTGAAGCAGTTGATTGATTTTCATTCCTACACCGCTGAGCTCGGTGTCCACTGATTAACAAGTGTTATGTAATTTGTTTGTATATACAACTAATCAAACACTGTATGTAGATATCAGGTTTACGTCACACGTCATTCGTTTAAATCACGGCTTCGTTACTGACAAGGAGCGTATACCCTGACACAGTTGTTTTACCAATACTGGGAGCCGGATATCCTTTTACCGCTTGTGTTGATTTGGAGATATAAATTTTAGCTGTAAGATGTGAAACTCAACGATACATATATAATGCTACAAAATGCCACGACTTATAAAATATTTGTCTTCAAATTAGTGTGCAAAGAGGTAATGCATTAATAACATTTTTTTCCTCCACGGTGGAGTTAATAGTATATCATTGGTCAGTTTTGTTTGGTAATAAGTCCCAAAATTCTTAAACATAATAGAGAGTTGTTGTTTATCCAACTTAAAATCTTAACATGAACATTTCGATGTAATTTTCATAAATTCAAATAAGAGAAGCATTTATACGGATTGAAGTTTCTGCTGGGTCTTCGTGAAATATGTATGAAGCATGAACATTGAAAACACACCGTTCAATCTTTATTTACATAAGTTTTTAGTTATTATTGACATAATACAGATATTCCCCTTATATTTTCGATATTAACGAGTCTATGTCGTCAGTGCAAACGAGATTCCTGGAACAGCATAACGTCACCAAAAGGTTTGCTTCTAACGGTTGTCTCATTTTATTCGAAGCGGGAGGGAAAGTTCAAAATGACGCTGATCAATCGCGGTCATAGCTCCATGAACGCAATTTCTTCTGGTTATGCTTATGGAGGAACTTGCAGTTGAAACATGAATATCAGTGTATACGAAGGACACGTTATAAGTTGTCCCATCAGCTATTCCCAGTAAAGCATGAAGTTGATGTAGAATATTCATTTTTTTAATTTACTGGAAATGGATAACCAAAGTAATTACTAACATTTCCTGAAGATTTCTTTCGTTGAAACAGTAATGCTATAGGTGTATGATTCTGTGATTGATTCCGGAATTAAAACAAGCATATCATTAATAACAATACACGAAGTACAAACTAATGAAACACAGCATTGATTTAGTGCTTAGTGTCAGCATTCGTAGCGTTGTCGTTATATCCGTTATAATACTACAGGAGTGTACAGATGAACAGGTAGATGTGCTGTTGTTCTTACAGTTACAACTGTTGTTTTAATTTCTTTGAACAGGTGTTTTAAAGTCAGATCAGGGAAAGAGTTCTTTTCCCATGTTACATCTGTAGGTCATGTAAATTGTGACCGGTATTTTTCACCAATTTGCTTAATAGCCACAAACATACACATGAGATGGAAATAAACCCGAATCCCATATTTCCCACTAACTATAACATCATTCGACTTATAACAAAATCTTTATGAGAAATAATAAGATGAAATAAACAAAATATATGCAACACTTTTCCGTTTCCTGTCTAATTCCTTTTTTCCTATCTTCTTTCTCTCCCCGTTGGTGTTTCCCTAGGCTTCCGTTCTCGTATGACCCCGGCTGTTGCGAGGAAATTCATCAACAAACAGAATAAAATTCATTTTCTCTATCAAGTGGTTTGAAGGTTTACTGACATAGTGTATACCACAATGAATTGGTTTATTGTCTGGATTCTAGTTACGGGTTGTCAGCAACAGTTTTTTCTAATTGTGTCTCCCCATCGAATGAAGAAAGTTATATCGTATTGGTACAATGTTTCTTTTATTGATGCTTCTTATATAATATTGTCTGCGTCGGAACCTTTGAACTGCGAAGACTTGAAAACAGAGGAGTTGTGCAGTGAACTATATAGTTCGGTCACCTTCACTTCGAAATCAAAGTTAACAAAAAAGTTCCCGGCGAAATATTTTTCCGCAACTTCGAAATAGTGAAAAATGTGTAATTGAAACGTGTAATGTACCTTATTCTCCCACTAATGCACTGCGAAATAATGATGTCACTGTGACATTAAGTTCAAAGGTCAAGTAAGTGCTTTATTTATAGTCAATTGTTTTCCGTGCAATAACGTTTTGACCAATTAAAGATATCTTGATTAAACTTCAAAGTGTTCTTGTGTAATCCACAGAAAGTGTGCAGTACATTATAATTAAGTCGCCGTGGACAATTTCCATCTCACCGAAGTAAGAATAATCAACATTTCTTGTTGAGGTCACACATATGATTTGTCTTAACGAACCAAATAGTTCTGTTGTTAACGTTTCGCTCCATTGTTTTGGTCGGAAATTTTATTGCAAGTAATCGTGAAAGTGATATGTCGGTTCAGCGGTAATTTGATGGGAACAGTGTTTCTCCAGGGTTAAACTAGTGATAAGACTTTGTATCATTGGGTATGTCACTAATCAAAAGTTCATTATTACAGAGTTATTCAGTATCACGTACTTTACGTAGCGTATCTCCATGCTTTGATAGTAATAAAGGAATGTAAGATACATTTCGGTTATCTCTGGTTAAATTTTAATTTTTTGTTACTTTCTGCCTACTTGAATGATTTTATTTAAAATCTAAAAGATGGATGATTCCAAACATAATCGAAATATGCATTAAATGTACCTGAATATAATAAAATATAATTAATTACAGATGTTTGACGGAACCAGTTGTTTTACTTACACAAATTCCTTACAATAACCCATACTGTTTACCTGCTGTGATTGGAGTTTATGTTATTGGATCATTAATGCTATACTTTAATATCATTTCAATCTTTATTGAATGTATTAAAGACTATATACATGTCTAAGAAAGATACGCGAACAATCATAATACTACAAACATACACATATATATGAATGTTAGAAGTATAGACGTCGATTTTGTCGAGATGTATTAAATGGATTGGTTGATCTTCTCGGCAATAATGAATTCAGACCGTATGATGTCCTCCTTCCTGTAAAAGAACAAAGGAGTTGCGATTATTCAAGGTGACCCTTTGTTTGTTTGTTAAGGGTTAACGGCCCCTCGAAACTATGTCATTTCGGGTCTAGAGCGCCAAAAATAGACGTTACACACATTAAAAGCAACTAAAGGTTACAAATGGTAATATTTATTTATAAGTAGGTTATTGCGGAAACACTATATTTCCTTTTCCAATTGCCCTTATGAACCTCTGTCTTTATCCGTGAATAAATTATGTATGGCGTTTATTTGTGTGTGTTTTACAGTAAGCATACGCTTGGTTTTGAAATGTTTTCAAATGAAAGCCTTGATTTTGAAATAATTTCAAATGAAAGCGTGGAACACAGCAAATCTTTACTGCACCAATTCAGAAAAAAGGCAACCAAGACATCAAAAGCCTTAAAAAAGGCTACACAGTAAACAATATAGTTAGAAAACGTTTTTAGGGCGAGTAAGGTTCGTGTCATCCGAGCCTTGTGTCCTAAACTTGGTGATAACCTATTGACTGGGAATAGCACTTTTGAAACCGAAAAAGGAGAAGACTACAATATAGGGTACTGTACAAGATTGCAAGGGTTGGTTATGGTCTGAGAGGGTTTCTATCACCGAATTCGTGGTACGAATACAATGTGATAGTTCTTATATAAAAGGAATACAATGTGATAGTTCTTATATAAATTAATTTTCGATAAAAAAGAACAAAAACAAAACGAACAAAAAACAACATAGGAGTAAGTCAACAAGGTAGCGAGAGACAAATTACCAACTTTAGATGTCACACTAAACACCTGACGTCATCTCGGTAACACTTACCCCGTAAATGGCTGTATGGCATATTATAGGAGGCGCCACCCTGGTGGGAGGGGTCCTGACGGGAGAGGGTTAACCCCAAGCTCGAGCCTTGTTGACTCGCAGGGTTTCCACCAGGACTTCTCGAGCCTCCGAATCCCATACTTGACGTAGAAGAACTGAACCCCTGTTTGACGTTAAAAGGAGAACTGTTGGAGTTCCCCTGCGGGCTCCCATAGTTGATCGAGCCTCCTTGAGGACCCCCGTAGTTTGATTGGTCGTTGCTGTGCGGTGATAGCGGGTTGGTTACCATGTCGTTGTAGGACCCAGTAAAGGGAGATATGTAACGCTGCTCGTCTGATGTGGCTGTTATATAAAATGATTGATCATTTGTTACTACTTACATGTTACTACTAACAATCATTCGGAACATTATATTATCAATATTATAAGGTTATTACTTACTTGTGTAATACCAGACATTCGGAACACTATATCATCAATATTATAAGGTTGTCACGTACTTGTGTAATACCAAACATTCGGAACATTGTATCCGTCTATTGTTCTCTGTATATAACGATCATGTGCGTGACACAGGTTGGTGTTTTTCTCGAAAAAGATCGACACGCACGTGCTTGTCTTGGCACAGAGCGCTGCGCAGTCAACAAGAGACACGACTGCGTGACGCGACAGGACAGCTCGGTTAGGGAGGAGGTTGTTAAAGAGGGGGTTCCTCTTCAGGTATTGGCCCGAAGACAGAGCAACTGAAAGCGATACAGATTTTGTATGTCAACTATTGCACGATAACCTTTGAAACTAATTATTGTATAAACTATGATTATTGATATATTCCTATCAGCCCATCAATTCAAAAGGGCCAATATAACGTCGATAAAACATGTTTAAGGAACTGACAGCAAACCAACGAAGAAGTTAAAGATAAAATTCAACTTAAAAGTAAAAGTAGATAGTAAATAATTAACAAGAAAAACATGTTTTAGCTATCAAGGACCGTTGAATTAATCCCACAACTGCTCAGATAGTCGCAAGTGGTACATTAGAGCATTCAATGAGATACTACACTCTCACACATTTTACTACGTTTGAGCAAAATCTGGCATAGAACCCTAGGGACCACTAACATCACCTTTACGTATACCCTCAAATGTATCAATAAGTCACAGGCCTTGGAGGCCATGTTTGATAACCGATCAGAAAATTAAATGCATTACACACATCTAAACATTATACAGCACAGTTTATCCAGCCAGTGGTCACAACGAATACGCCCGGAAACTATAGGGCCGCACTTGTTTATCACGATCCAAGCGGTTGAACCGGTTGGACCAGAGTTGTTCGCTTATGAAATTATGAAAGCAGGCCATGGAAAAGCCTTGCAAGGTCTGCATAAACATTTGCAGTTCCGCCAGGATTTATACCCGAACATGTTACATTTAAAAACAGACAAATCGGTTGAACAGGATACGCAAAAGGGGGCCATTTGTCGAAAAAATAAATTTGAAAGATTAAGAAATGCAGAAAAAATAAGTCTCCTTCGTTTGAATGATTCAATTAAACAAAATAGATCTGTCATGATACCGCCTTATTTCATCGAACCCTTATGACCAATCTAGTACTTAAGCTTTTTATACATTGGGAATATTACTCTTAAGTTGTTGACAAATGACGGTAAATTAATTTAAACTCTTTTGTCATAAAAAAATCATATTTAACAGACATCAGGACTGTTATAAAATTTCGTTAAGTTTGGCGGAAGTGTGTGATGTCTTCCAATTCGTAAACATATTAGAAGAACTGATTTCAATATTAACCAAAAAAATGTATAAAGTCAGTTCTTCATGTCTATCGAGGCAAAGACAACGCAACTATGACTTCCTTGAAAAAATAATCAAAGTTATATAAGTGCATACATCTACATAACAATTATGCTACTGATTTGAATTAATGGTTAATGTAGTATGACGAAGTCTTTAAGCACAAAAATAAATCCTCAAAATCAAAGTTATATAGAGAATACTTACTTACCTCGAAACAAAGCAATGCGCACGAAAATTGACAACATTATACTTGCATACATGGTAACTGACTTGTCACTACCACCTACTGGTCATCACTCTGTCAGACTGATACATTAGTATCGGTATATTTATGTTGATGATACATGTTTATTACATAACATGCCGTTTTGCTTTTAATTTCAATCAATTAATTCCATTATTAAATCAAATATAACTTATCAATTTAGTACTACAAGTGGGATTCTGTTGAAGCAGTTGATTGATTTTCATTCCGACACCGCTGAGTACGGTGTCCACTGATTAACAAGTGTTATGTAATTTGTTTGTATATACAACTAATCAAACACTGTATGTAGATATCGGGTTTACGTCACACGTCATTCGTTTAAATCACGGCTTCGTTACTGACACGGTACCCTGACACAGTTGTTTTACCAATACTGGGAACCGGATATCTAATACCGCTTGTGTTGATTTGGAGATATAAATTTTAGCTGTAAGATGTGAAACTCAACGATACATATGTAATGCTACAAAATGCCACGACTTAACAAATATTTGTCTTCAAATTAGTGTGCAAAGAGGTAATGCATTAATAACATTTTTTTCCTCCACGGTGGAGTTAATAGTATATCATTGGTCAGTTTTGTTTGGTAATTAGTCCCAAAATTCTTAAACATAATAGAGAGTTGTTGTTTATCCAACTTAAAATCTTAACATGAACATTTCGATGTAATTTTCATAAATTCAAATAAGGGAAGCATTTATACGGATTGAACGGCATTTTCTCCAAGTTTCTGCTGGGTCTTCGTGAAATATGTATGAAGCATGAACATTGAAAACACACCGTTCAATCTTTATTTACATAAGTTTTTAGTTATTATTGACATAATACAGATATTCCCCTTATATTTTCAATATTAACGACTCTATGTCGTCAGTGCAAATGAGATTCCTGGAACAGCATAACGTCACCAAAAGGTTTGCTTCTAACGGTTGTCTCATTGTATTCGAAGCGGGAGGGAAAGTTTAAAATGACGCTGATCAATCGCGGTCTTAGCTCCAAGAACGCAATTTCTTCTGGTTATGCTTATGGGGAAACTTGCAGTTGAAACATGAATATCAGTGTATACGAAGGACACGTTATAAGTTGTCCCATCAGCTATTCCCAGTAAAGCATGAAGTTGATGTAGAATATTCATTTTTTTTTATTTACTGGAAATGGATAACCAAAGTAATTTACTAAAGCCTTTTTTAGATTCTTTTCGTTGAAACAGTAATGCTATAGGTGTCTGATTCTGTGATTGATTGCGGAATTGATCATGAAACACGCATATTATTAATAACAATACACGAAGTACAAACTAATGAAACACATAATTAATCAAGTGCTTAGTGTCAGCATTCGTAGCGTTGTCGTTATATCCGTTATAATACTACAGAAATGTACAGATGAACAGGTAGGTGTGCTGTTGTTCTTACAGTTACAACTGTTGTTTTAATTTCTTTGAACAGGTGTTTTAAAGTCAGATCAGGGAAAGTGTTCTCTTTTCCCATGTTACATCTGTAGGTCATGTAAATTGTAACCGGTATTTTCACCAATTTGCTTAATAGCCACAAACATACACATGAGATGGAAATAAACCCGAATCCCATATTTCCCACTAACTATAACATCATTCGATCTATAACAAAATCTCTAAAATACAATTTTGGAAGTCAGGTTTTGCCACATTCGATCTTGTCTTTCATGGGTTCCCGTATCACTGCCAAAAATTTGTAACTAAGTGATGGAGACTGTTTTTAACTATAGCTTTGATAAATGGTTTCTGAAAAGTAATCCATGCCTGGCGGGACCTTTATGAGAAATAATAAGATGAAATAAACAAAATATACGCAACACTTTTCCGTTTCCTGTCTAATTCCTTTTTTCCTATCTTCTTTCTCTCCCCGTTGGTGTTTCCCTAGGCTTCCGTTCTCGTATGACCCCGGCTGTTGCGAGGAAATTCACCAACAAACAGAATAAAATTCATTTTCTCTATCAAGTGGTTTGAAGGTTTACTGACATAGTGTATACCACAATGAATTGGTTTATTGTCTGGATTCTAGTTACGGGTTGTCAGCAACAGTTTTTTCTAATTGTGTCTCCCCATCGAATGAAGAAAGTTCTATCGTATTGGTACAATTTTTTTTTATTGATGCTTCTTTATATAATATTGTCTGTGTCGGAACCTTTGAACTGCGAAGACTTGAAACCAGAGGAGTTGTGCAGTGAACTATATAGTTCGGTCACCTTCACAAAAAAGAAAAACGTTTCCGGCGAAATATTTTTCCGCAACTTCGAAATAGTGAAAAATGTATAATTGAAACGTGTAATGTACCTTATTCTCCCACTAATGCACTGCGAAATAATGATGTCACTGTGACATTAAGTGCAAAGGTCAAGTAAGTGCTTTATTTATAGTCAATTGTTTTCCGTGCAAGAACGTTTTGACCATGAAAGATATCTTGATTCCACAGAAAGTGTGCAGTACATTATAATTAAGTCGCCGTGGACAATTTCCATCTCACCGAAGTAAGAATAATCAACATTTCTTGTTGAGGTCACACATATGATTTGTCTTAACGAACCAAATAGTTCTGTTGTTAACGTTTCGCTCCATTGTTTTGGTCGGACATTTTATTGCAAGTAATCGTGAAAGTGATATGTCGGTTCAGCGGTAATTTGACGGGAACAGTGTTTCTCCAGGGTTAAACTAGTGATAAGACTTTGTATCATTGGGTATGTCACTAATCACAAGCTCATTATTACAGAGTAAGTCAGTATCACGTACTTTACGTAGCGTATCTCCATGCTTTGATAGTAATAAAGGAATGTAAGATACATTTCGGTTATCTTTGATTTGCATTTTATTTTTTGTTACTTCCTTCCTTTTTGAATGATTTGATTTAAAATCTAAACGATGAATGATTCCAAACATAATCGAAATATGCATTAAATGTACCTGAATATAATAAAATATAATTAATTACAGATGTTTGACGGAACCAGTTGTTTTACTTACACAAGTTCCTTTACAATAACCCATACTGTTTACCTGCTGTGATTGGAGTTTATGTTATTGGATCATTGATGCTATACTTTAATATCATTTCAATCTTTATTGAATGTATTAAAGACCATACACATGTCTAAGAAAGATACGCGAACAATCATAATACTACAAACAGACACATATATATGAATGTTAGAAGTATAGACGTCGATTTTGTCGGGATGTATTAAATGGATTAGTTGATCTTCTCGGCAATAATGAATTCAGGCCGTATGATGTCCTCCTTCCTGTAAAAGAACAAAAGAGTTGGGATTATTCAAAGTGACCCTTTGTTTGTTTTTTTAAGGGTTAACGGCCCCTCGACACTATGTCATTTTGGATCTAGAGCGCCAAAAAAATACATTACACACATTAAAAGCAACTAAAGGTTACAAATGGTAATATTTATTTATAAGTAGGTTATTGCAGAATTACTATATTTCCTCTTCCAATTGCCCTTATGAACCCCTCTGTTTTTATCCGGGGATAAATTATATATAGCGTTTATTTGTGTGTGTTTTACAGTAAGCATACGCTTGGTTTGGAATGTTTTCAAATGAAAGCCTTGATTTTGAAATAATTTCAAATGAAAGCGTGGAACACAGCAAGTCTTTACTGCACCAATTCAGAAAAAGGCAACCAATATATCAAAAGCCTTAAAAAGGCTACACAGTAAACAATATAGTTAGAAAACGTTTTAAGGCCGAGTAAGGTACGTGTCATCCGAGCCTTGTGTCCTAAACTTGGTGATAACCTATTGACGGGGAATAGCACTTTTAAAACCGAAAAAGAAGAAGACTACAACATAGGGTATTGTACAAGATTGCAAGGGTTGGTTATGGTCTGAGAGGGTTTCCTATCACCGAATTCGTGGTATGAATACAATGTGATAGTTCTTATATAAAAGGAATACAATGTGATAGTTCTTATATAAATTAATTTTCGATAAAAAAGAACAAAAACAAAACGAACAAAAAATAACATAGGAGTAAGTCAACAAGGTAGCGAGAGACAAATTACCAACTGTAGATGTCACACTAAACACCTGACGTCATCTCGGTAACACTTACCCCGTAAATGGCTGTATGGCATATTATAGGAGGCGCCGCCCTGGTGGGAGGGGTCCTGACGGGAGAGGGTTAACCCCAAGCTCGAGCCTTGTTGACTCGCAGGGTTTCCACCAGGACTTCTCGAGCCTCCGAATCCCATACTTGACGTAGAAGAACTGAACCCCTGTTTGACGTTAAAAGGAGAACTGTTGGAGTTCCCCTGCGGGCTCCCATAATTGATCGAACCTCCTTGAGGACCCCCGTAGTTTGATTGGTCGTTGCTGTGCGGTGATAGTGGGTTGGTTACCATGTCGTTGTAGGACCCAGTAAAGGGAGATATGTAACGCTGCTCGTCTGATGTGGCTGTTATATAAAATGATGGATCATTTGTTACTACTTACATGTTACTACTAATAAAAAGAGGCTACTGAGAAAAGCACGTTACCCGAGCATTGCAACTGGTGACTCGCACAAAAACATGTGTAAATATAATATTAGTAAAGGAGTGCATTGCATTGTGATGAGTTGATACGAGTGTTCGAATACGACGGAAAAAATAGTCAGTAACAAGCTATCCAAGAATACACCTGCTGTTAACCATATACTGTATCGTAAGAGGCGGCTAATGTGTGAACCCCCTGCAGAATTGGGGATTTGCTTTTGTACCCTCTACTTGGGGACACAAGCGTCTGTTTAACTGGTGTCGACTTTATAGTGCTACCCCACCTTAAACAAAACAAATAAAGGAACAAAGCAATTGCAGGAGTTGTAAACAAGGAATGGTTTGTCAAGCTCTGATTCATTCTCTAATTAAGAAATAGCCTTGTGTCATTCAGTGGAGTGGTCTGTGTATTAACCCTATACCTGCTGTTCCGTAACCTGCTCCAGAACTGTATGAAGATCCGTAAGACCCCGACCTTCCCGCTGATTGGACGGAGTTTGCAAACAAGGAAGAAAGGGGGCCAGCACCAACACCCGCTTCGCCAGTCATCATTGTGTCTGCGTGTTAAAGGTAACAGGACATTTCATGTCGTACAGTCATATCAAATAGTTCAAAATATCAACAATTCAAAAGCTGCATAATGTTGTTTTTAAATAAGTGGCCATGGTAAAGGAGAAAAGAAATGGTAGGGGCGCATTTGTTATTAAATTGCTAAGAAATCGGGTGTGCAAGTAAACCTTGCTTCATCCATCTCTGACAACAACTGGTTCACCCGTTGCCAGTATAATGTGACAAGGTGGAATGCTGTGCTAGGTGCCTTCGGCATGGTATTTAAGTGAGATAACACTATAAATTCGGTATCAGATCCGCGCTATCACAAAGACGCAATTCCACTTACAGACCCTGCCTCGAGACCACATACACGCATGCACGTCCTTAATTGCACTTAGTCAGTGATAGGACGATAAAAAACACAAACCGAACTAACCAAATCTCCAGTCTACGTGATTTCACGGCCTCAAGTAAAATGCTTATACAACGTCATATTTCCAGAGATAAATTCTAGGGCAAGGTTGCCATCGTTTTCTAACTGGGGATTACTCTCAATTCTGTGTGTAATATGAATAATGACTGCTTTTATTATGAACCTTTCCATTTCAACGTTACTATTCTGGTGATCTCTATAACATACCGTTAATTTGATTAAACAACGAATTTCATGGCGGGTATCGTCATTGAACCAGAACACGCCTATCATTCTTGCTGGTCTGAGTCTCTGTCCATAGTTTCAAGGGACTCTAAGTAAATCTTTCCTTTTTTCCAAGTTAAGTTGATTTGATCTTGAGTTTGAGTTGTGGTTTTGTTAACACTCCGGTATTTTCTTGTATTCAAATATACGTGATTGGTTTGAAACCATCACATTTGTCACCTGTCTGATATGGAATCATGAACATTGTACGTAGCTATTTCTAAGGATTGTAGGTGTTTTACGTCCTATTAACAGTTATGGTCAGTTAAGGACGTGACAGGTTTTGGTGGTTGAGGAAACCCAGAGTACCCGGTGGAAAATCACTGACCTGCGGCCAATACCTAGCGATTGTCCCACATTGGCCTCGAACCCACAACCAAGTGGTATAGAGCTAGTGATCCTGGACGATATGACGTCTTAACCACTCGGCCACTGTGCCGGGCGCCCCGTTTCTTAAGTCCTAATGTTTAAGTAGTGTTTACCAACGGAAATTTGCTTAGTGGCGGATGCAGGGGTGTTGCCCTAGTTGCCTTGTTGCCTGGGCAACACCCTTTTTTCTGTGTAAAAAAAACCCCAATCTGATCATTTGAAGATTTTTCTCCATTTCATATGTGAATTTTGTCATTGAAAAGTTGAACCAATGTTTTCTATGGCTTCCCTTAGCCAACTTTGTCATTAACTCTAGGCTTAACGGTGTTGCCGAAACACCTCTGATTTCACTGCCCTAAACAATAGGGGATTAACCTCCTTATGTCAATGAAAGCATGTCTCCAGTCAGGTCATTGGTCACCTGGTGGTCTAAATTGTAGCCTGGCCTTACCTGCTTACTCCTGTACTACATATATAGGGACCCTGGTGCTTAATTTGTTTACCTGTGTACTGAGCTTCCCCGCTCATTCCGGTTGAGTAACTACTCCCGCCAGAGAAACTACTTCCGCCGGAGAAACTACTTCCGCCGGAGAAACTACTTCCACCGGAGAAACTACTTCCTGAATTGGAATTTGAGGCTGTGAATGGTCCCTTTGAGTCGGTTGAGTAACTGTTTGTGTCGAAGGGGTTGGCGCCCGTTCCCTTCCCGGCATTCACCACTCCTGCTACCAACATGCCCAAGTATCATGTATGTATCTCAACTTAAATAATTTCTTGAATTTAAGACACGCAGACGTTCTATAAAGGTTCTGTTCGAATGGAAATTTGTAATTCATTAATGCAACTTGCCCCGTCATATTAACCTGAACGTCACTGACCAAAGTCGCTACCGACAGTATACAGCGTCATAACGTTAATTTAAATATCCTTACTCCTGTAGTCCGCAGAGGAAACCAAGCTCCCCATGTTTGCTAATGAAACCCGGCTACTTAAGACCGCAGATAAAAGCTGGGTTTGCTTAATGATGAAAGGAGATTATTTCTGATAATATTTTTATCATTTGGTCTAAACGGTCCATCAACACAGAATGGATCATTAGGGCAAATCAAAGGTAGATACATCATGTTGAAATAATATTACATTGTATTACATATGATTGGTTTAGTCGGATGACTTACGAGTTTCACTTTGCCTGGAAACCATGCTTTACCTTGCGTGGACGATCCATCCCATCCTGACCCAGATGATACGGCATACGACCCAAGACTATAATACGGGTTTTTATTATAGTCAACAACATTGTCCTGTTCAGCGGATGTGGCAGAATCTCCAGAGAATGGGGTTCCGGTAAGTCCCGGCTCGTACATGTCGCCGTGGAACTGTTCTTGAAGCATATCTTGGTAGTGTGTGGTGTCGTAAAGACTGTTGTCACTATCGCCGCTCAGACCGGAGCCTCCACCAACGTCAAATGTCCCACCTATTGCCAATAAAAGTTATCTATTATAACAGGCAACGATGTACGGCAAACAAAGGAAGACAGTTCTGGCGGCGAGTTGCAAGTGATGTGTAGTATCGACATGTCTATCAATATACAACACAATTGTTCTACTAGCAAGTTCACAAAAATAATTCTTAGACATATCGTCCTAATGATTTCAAAACTGTGTAATTTGTGGTAGATTACAGTTTAATTTCCACTAAATCCATGGTAAAGAAGGATTTATCCGTTTTGTCTCCTTTGTCTAGGAATAATACCGACACCCGGATGTATCCCACTGCGTGGTTTTATAAATAGATGATGTTGGGATTCCCTACAACAGCTTTGTTGTATTTTTATTTTTAAAGATACCTTTCTTTCCCTGATTTGACCAGAATTTACATATGTATGTCACGTGTCTCTTCACGGGTCAGTGTGTACTTCCGGTGAACATCGATAATTTGACAGATGTTACAACAATGTGAAGAAAAGCTGACCCCGACTGCATGTCTGACGAGTTGGTTATAGTCAGTATATATAAAATTCATGATAGATTGGAAACTTCGGCTTTTTCGTCAACAATTACCATTTTTTCCCGCTCGATTCAGTTGGTATGTAACACTGATTTACCTTCACAACAGAACTAGACAAACCCCACGTGACCGCCAAATAACTTGACTTGAAATCCGGAATCTTGTGTGTCAAAAACAACGTTTAAGAAACATCAAAGAGACCGAAACCTGTCTGCAGCCTCCGTGGCAACACGTTGTATACCCATCTTTATTGTTCTCCTCCTACTTCCTCTATTTGATGTTGTTTTTCCAGATGACGCTAGTCAGTAATAATTCCGTGAAATTGACTTCGGAGGACTGACACCATTGTCATATGGCCTCAACTTTTTCCGGGGCCTACCACAATGGAAGCAAATCTTAATATGTATTTACTGTAATTTATTGGTACCAGCTCTTATGGTTTCTGAGTTAAACAGAAATTCGACACAAGGTGATTAAGGACCATGCTATTGTAGGGAGGTCCAGTGCAGGAAAGATTACAACGGCACGCAGTGGTATCATTGGAGCAAATATTTCACACGAGCCCCCAGGTAACATGTCGTTTCTGTAAGAATTATGAGTGTTATCTTTTTTTTGGATTGTTTAACGGCCCTTCGACAAATGCATGTCATCTAGGGCCAAACAACACTGAATATTGACATTCACACAAAATATTAAATCATACTTAGAATAAATAGGTTTAAAATTTAAAAAAAAGGTACTGATACATTGTACATAAATAGCCAACGAACTGGTTGTAAGATATACCCTCTCTTCTGGTAAAGATTGATTAAATTTGTATTTGTATTTTGTATTGTTTTACGGCGCATCGACAGTTTCGGTCATTTAGGGCCAAACAACAATGTAAATAATAGAAATTCACAAAAAAACTGAATACATAAATACCAGAAACAAAAGGTTAAAATGTGTAAAGATGTCAAAATATATCAATAGCAAACGAATTGTTTATAAAGTATATGATATCTTATTAAAGAGATTAATTGAATGTAAATAATTATAGATTGATTGCACACAGAAACTATCAAGTAAACCGTTTCATAGAGGGTACATTATAAAATCTGTCACATATTTGAAACGTAAAATTGATTGAGTGTAAATAATCATGTATTAATTGCAAAGAAACTTATCAAATTAACTGTTCATAGACAGTACATTTTAATCTGTTTTTAAATCAGCGCATTCAATCATGACATATTTGACTGTAATTGGTTGGTTGCCTGCGTTACAATAAGGTTAGTTATCTTCTTTGTAAAATTTAGCTATGAGAGATGTAAGTACATGTATGGCCTATGCGCAGTCGCAGGAGGACAACTTCCTCTCTGCAATCTACTCTAGTTTACACCTAGAAGGGGCGAATAATTTATTTTAATATAGTACCTTTACCATGAATATTTTTTATTACGTTGTTGAGGATGGTACATGCACCAGGGGGTTAAAAATACCTTCGAGACCACCTGGGCCGCTACTTCCGAGTCCGAGGTCGAATGACCCTCCAGCGAAACCCCCGGGACCGCCGCTTCCCATCATGTCTGTGGCGAATGTTCCTCCAGCCATACTACCAGGCCCGCCACCGGACGCTGGTGACGTGGACAACGAACTCGGCATGCCTACAATGTACAGGTAAGTTACATTCCTTCTCATTTCAAATGACTTCAACTTCGATGATGTTTCATGAAATTTACCAAATCTGGCATAACTCATACCCTCTGATTTGTAGTACCAGTGGTTAACTTGCCATCCCCGTAAAATTAAAAAACTGTAAATGTACTTATTTCAGTGCACTCCCTTTTATCGCATTATCGCATTATATTTTATTAGCGTATTGATTTAAATTAACACAATATATGTGAACAGCATAGGAAACATCTACTTGGCGACAACGATATGAACCAAGACTGCATCTTCCCCGACTTACGCAAGAAACGAGGTGGGATCCTTATTATATCTATCGTTCAATTTACGGCACTCCGAATTCCATTTATATAATAGTTAGCTAAATAAAAATATACGGAAGCAAATCAAATCATCTACATAGCAGCTTCAAAATTAGCAGAAAGGATATGTTAATATGAGTTTGTCAGTCTGGATATTCAACGACGTACCGCTTCCGTCCACTATTCCACCACTTCCAGAAGACGACATGGTGAAAGGTCCCTGTCCATTTCCGGTACCTCCTTTGTTTCCGGTACTAAATGGACTAGGCATTCCTGCACCAGAGCCACCTGTACCCATACCAGATCCGCCCATGATACTCCCCGAGTTGCCGGAACTAAATGGACTTGGTATTCCTGAACCTGAACCAGATCCAACTGCTCCTATACCAGTTCCACCCATGGCACTCCCTGAGTTTCCGGAACTAAATGGACTTGGCATTCCTGTACCCGATCCACCTGTTCCCATACCAGATCCGCCCATGGCACTCCCTGAGTTTCCGGAACTAAATGGACTTGGCATACCTGAACCCGATCCACCTGTCCCCATACCAGTTCCACCCCTGACACTCCTTGAGTTTCCGGAACTAATTGAATTAGGCATACCTGCACCAGAGCCACCTGTTATCATCATACCATCCATGGTATCTTTGTTTACAACTCCTCCGTTTCTACTTCCACTCTTCCCTATGGAATTGAGGCTGCCTCTCCTAACACTGTTTCTATCCACAAAACCCCCGCTCAATCCATATCCACCCATTACTACACTGGGTGATCCACTTCCGGCAATGGCGAAAGGGGAGTTTGCTCCATATTCGGAACCTGATTTAGAATCTAAACCGCTAACGGCAGAAGCGTAGGGGCTGGCGGGACGCTGACTTAAGTTGATGTCCGTATGTCTATCGTACTCATAGGATTGACAACTACATCCAGTTAAAATCAGGGTTAAAACCATGGATATAGTTTTCTTCGAATCCATGCTGCAGTATTTACCTGTGACGGAAAAAATGGTAACTTTGTTACTACTTGCTTTGTTGTATGATAAATGGTTTGGATAGTGCTTTAGGATCCAGCAACGTGTTAACTCAATGTAATTCGAGATAAGACATGTTAATGTCACGTTCCTGTAATTTAGATGACAAAAGGTTGCTGTTATATATACAAATTAAGTGAAATACCATTGCAGCCAAGAAACACTGACGTAATTGCTAGACAAAGGGACGAGTCGGACTTGAAACGTTGCGACACAATTAGTACGTACATTGTTTGTGCATAAAAGGAAAATTTGATATTACATATCTCCAAACTAAAGAATCGTATTGAAGATATTATAGTCAAGAAAGGTTAATCCTGCTTAATATCATATTGTTAAAATTAAACCACAGATTATAACATTTTACTTTTGAATTAAAACGTATACTGACCTTTCCGTTTTGTGGATTCTTGTACTTTCCACAAATATTAGTGATCCACCTTTGCCGAAATAACTTAACCTCAATCGGTCTAATAGTGAAAAGTTGAACATCAGGTGTTTACACACCTTGGCCTCGGACATCTGCTTGTGACGTCACAGTCGGTGATACGCGACGTCACTCTTCAGATACGGTCGTGGTATAATTATGATGTTTCCATACAACCGATAACCTATCAACAAACTTTATCGACCTGTTGAGCATCCGGGTCATAACAGTCGTCTCGATATAGATATTGTTTACCGTACGCTCAAATATATTTGTAATGTTATAATCGCATTGGTTATATAATTTCTTTTCTAACAACCTGCATCAGACTGGAACAAGACTTTAGGTGATACTAGTTATGCGTTCTCCTTCTGGGGAATAGAAGAAAGGGAAATGTGTGTATGTATGTGAAAATAATACCTATACCACCTTCATGTTAAAGTCTTCGCTCCCTGGCTTAAAACTATGAAACACGGATAACGTTGTTGTAATTGATATTCGCAGTATCTCAACATGTTAAAATGCAAAGCATTGTAAACAAAGGAATTACAGAAAACGACATATATTTAAGTCAAACGATAAAGACGTGTAGAAAGAATACAAAAAACGCTCGGGGTTAATAGCGATCATCTTATATTGATAAGTTTTAATATCGGGGCAACAAAGTTATTTATATCGAAGAGCACGCTCTAATGTCTTAGTTGTCACTACCCGAGTTCGCGATGTGAGGACCTGACATTTTTTGGATTCGACTGAGATTTACATGGCGGGTGTCGGGGTACCCTTCCGGAACACCTCGTCAATTTTCCTTTTTCTTTTTCAAGGGTCTCCGTGTAAATCTTTCCTTTGTTCATATTCCGTCTTTTCGTTAGTTTGTGTGAGAAAATTACGTCATTTTCTCAAAAATGTATGACTTTACTCTCACAAACAAATGACGTAACAATCAATACCTGCTCACAAGAGCAGATAACTCTGCAATACGAAAAGACGGAATTTCGGCCTTGTATCCATTTTGAGTTCGATTTGTGGTTTGGTTGATAATTCGGCATTTTGTTTGTTTGAATGCTTGAATGTGGAGCGTTTGCCCATGTGAGGAAGGCAATTGGTTCGGGCCGTTGGCAGTTGTTATTCCCTGCTCAACGTTCAGCATTTAGGTTGTCAGTATAATGTGACCGGGCGGAATGCTGTGCTGGGTGCTTTCGGCATGGTATTTCAGTGAGATAGCAATATAACGTCGGCATCAGATCCTCGCTATCACAAGGAGGCAAGCACATCAACATACCCTGTCGAGACCACATACACACACGCAAGTACGCATACACTACACACATGGAGGCACTTCCTTAAATGACCTTAGCTGTTAATAGGACGTTAAACAAAATTAAACCAAACCAAACCAAATCAATCGTAGGGTCATTTTGTTGTTTATATGCGTTACTGTTTACAGGGCATGGCCTGCTGTCTGTGTGTTATATGGTATCTCTTGTCATGTCTTGCATGTGATCAACGTTTAACAGTCAAACACTTTATGATTGGATGCGCTGATTGCAAACAAATCCGTGACATATTTTATGATGTACCGTCTATGTAAAAAGTATTCGATACAGTTTCTGTGCAATATAATATATGACTATTTACACTCTATTGATCTTTACAGCAAAAAAGGATATATTGTTCAGCCAATTTGTTCGATATTGATGTATTTTTTATTATCCTTTACATATTTTAAACTATTAAGTTTTGGTTTGATTTGTTTATTTTCGTGAATGTCTCTTTTTACAGTATTGTTGGCATTGACTGACTACAACTGTCGGTGGGCCGTTAAACAATACAAAAACAAAAAGTACAAAAATTAGAGAGAAAGTTCCCTTCAGTACTTCCAGAAAAACAGCTCTAACAAACCGTAACTCTAATAATTAAAAATGGCCGTCTATCGAATTCAAATTCTTCTACTGTATGACTAGGCATTGCATATGACATTATAAAGCATTGTGTAAATATAGAATATGCTGGATTATTGTCTGAGTACAGATCGTTGCACATTTTGGCACGGCGTAAGGTATGTTTGCTGTCTCGTGAAAGGGAAACAGACTAAGACGAAAAGACAACATCCCACTGCCGATAACAACGGCAACCACATGTTGCCTTTGGGCAATTAGCGAGGAATACAATAACTCTTTACCAATATGCATAAAAGCGTTTTAATATAACCTGTATATTTGGCGAATCTGTTTTATATCTAACCATAAACTTTTTAACCGTCACATTTACCTTCTGCCGAATACCAATACAAATCACTTAGTTACAAACTCCGATGAGATGAAAACACGAAGCTCTTCTTTATCAGACATTTTGCACAACTTGAATTAATAAGTTTATATTTCTACCAAAATATATCTTGATCATGTATTTCGATGCACTTCAAGATTAATGATATTAGTTTAAAATCATTATACAATTATGGACTTCAGGTGAGGTCTCTCCCTGATTTACGGACCTGGTCTGAACAATATTCCCAGAGGCCGAAGTGAATATTGTTCAGACCAGGTCCGTAAAATCAGGGAGAGACCGAAACTGAAGTCCACAATTGTTTTATTGTATGACATTTTACAATGAGATTAATATTTGTTCAAGTCATAAACACACGGATGGCATGGACCATTTTGGAATCACAGAGTGACGCACTTCAAATACAAAATAACATAATTTAAAATTCAATTCATGTGATATTTAATTTCAAGTAAATATTTTTTGCACAATCGACATCATCAATATTCACATAGTTCAGAATTTGATGAGATAATTCATTTGTAGTTGAATTCAGTAGTATGATTGGTAACAGAATCACAGACTTGCTGGGAAATTACTAAGGCCTATTTGTAGTAGCGGTCTATACCACTTTTCTATTTATAGGTCGAGGTCTGTAACACTTTTCTATTCATAGAACGAGGTCTGTAACATGTTTACAGACTCGTCACATGACGTCGCTCCTCCAATCAGGGCTGAGACTTAGCACCAGTCATATAATAACGGTATTTACAGACCTGTAAGCATTTTCAAAGAAATGAACACCATGAAAGTTAGATGTCTCTTAGTTCCCATTTTACCTGTAAAGAACAAAAATAGATAAATGCATGTTTCAATCAGTTGTTATACCAAAGGTCACTTATATTTCATCAATTAAAATCAAACTGATAAACATACTTAACTTTATAAGGATATATTTGAAAGCAAGCCAAAGGTCACTTCGGCATTTATCATCACAGAAGAAAATATCCGACTGTACGAAGGGAAATAATGTATTTCAGATGCCAAATATGATAGATGGTTTATTTCCGACTGTTGAGCCTGTTGTCGGTAACAATGGGTTGGCATTATAAAAAACAGAAGTGTAGTTTTACAAATATTTATTCAAATGTCAGACAGTTTATTTATAGCTGTAACGGGTTGACAAAAGATGACAGATCTACAGATGTCGACCTCGTGACATCCAAATAAGATACTGATAAAACAGAGATTAGAAGCACAGAACGATCTAACTCTTTAAATGACATCCCCGTTAGAATCAATGACACATCTAATCAAACGTTTTTGATACATATTTAGATAAACAAATTGGATGTGAAGGCTAAGGAGACATCGATACAATGAGAGCGTTCACGCTATGAAATAAAATTTATAAGAAGATGTTTACATAAAATATTTTCAGATTGCTATAAGAACTGTCTAGCTTATTGATTAGAGGTAAAAAAAAAACTCTTATTAAATCACTGAAAATTTGCCAGGTACTGCTCAAACTCGTCCTGGCACATCGAATTATTCTGCTGGGTTTTTCCTCTGATATGGGTGAACACGCGGCCCGATGCTCTATAAAATTAGAGATAAATTAACATCGATTGTAAAGAAAAAACAAAGAATAGGATGAAATTCATATCTGTTGTGCTCAAATACAACATATAGTTAAACTATTGTAAATTTATTTAAGTTGGAATAAGAGAAACATAAATTACACAATTCATAAAGATATGCTTTAGGACAGCACCACACCCTCCGCCATGACGACCTCCGGTATCGGTTTGGTAACCACACTCTCCGCCATGACGACCTGCGGTAGCGATTGGGATACCACACCCTCTGCCATGACGACATGCGGTAACGATTGGGATACCACACCCTCCGCCATGACGACCTGCGGTAGCGATTGGGATACCACACCCTCCGCCATGACGACCTGCGGTAGCGATATGGATACCACACCCTCCGCCATGACGACCTCCGGTAGCGATTGGGAACCCCACCCTCCGCCATGACGACCTCCGGTAGCGATTGGGATACCACCACCGCCACAGTCGCGTGCATGGATGTAATCCACTTAGCTGTTGGTATAGTGGTTGCATTCTCTGCTGGTACTTATAATTAGTTTAGCATTAAAATCTCATAACTACATTTATAGGTCATGAATTGAAGGTACCATGAGAAACAAATATGTTATATATATTCGAATTCAATCCTCCTCAACTGTAATGACTGCTTAATAATTACAAGTCACATATTATCATAAGATATGATACTCAATACAAAATTGTACATAATTTAGTCACTTATTTCCCTGTTTTAAATATGAATAATAGAAATGTATGAAACTTAACGTCTATTATAGGAATTGTCGTTGGAATGATTTTAAGAAGATGGTGGCGACGATACCGATTTTGCCTTGGGGTATACATGATCAGCGACGATTTGGAATTCTGTTAGTTAAATGATGAATTCATGCATTTAACCCTATACTTTATGTGAGTTGTCTCCCCTAGATCATTAACAATAACTCTGTGTTGTATGTAAATAAGTACGTTTTCTATTCACAGTCACAAACAAAGAAGATGAAGATGTACATTGTAGGTACTGTGTCTGTTAAATTCTTATAAATATATTCCCAATTGATAGTTAAATATATCCCCAATCGATAATTAAATATATCCCCAATTGATAATGATTCGTTTCTGTTATTTTTAAAACCCATATCTATTGAAAGGTGTAAACATTCAAACCTATCATAGCAGGCACCCTTATA